CAAAAGTCTGTAAACTGAAAAGTGTGTCCAAAAATGTTGCAAAAGTCTGTAAACTGAATAGTGTGTCCCAAAATGTTGCAAAAGTCTGGAAACTGAAAAGTGTGTCCCAAAATGTTGCAAAAGTCTGTAAACAGTTCTCTACATAAGAATCTAGCATATCTTTGCATGCGAATCATTATGCTTTTTGATTTTTCCATTTGCCCAATATTTTAACATGTTTTGATATTTTTTAAGTTTTTCATCATTGAAATATAGCTTTTGTGGAAACAGAGAAAAGTATTGAAAAATGTGTACAATTGTTTGCAAGGTAAAGCCCCTTTTGTTCGATCCAATTGAAAGCTTCGAAATCGCCAAAATTTATCCTAAAAGCACCACACTAAACTTAGCTGGGCTGGTAAAATCGGCCGTGATAGGCCAGGCTGTAAAAAGTCTGGCCGCGCCATTAAAGTTGAACCCGGCAAAGATAGACACGGGCCGGTACTTGCCCTGCATCACTAAGGCCGGTACAAGGGGTCGGTCCAGTTCGAATTTAAATTGACCCTAGTTCACCGTGTCTCAGTATCCGAATATTAAATTAGAGGGGTTTAAGCTTTAAAGATGTTGTAAATACAAGATATTATTGATGCAATTTTCATTTCTTCAGATCAGAAACCCTGTATTTGGTTCTTTGTCTACATATGCATTTGTTTGTTTGATTTTATGTATTTTGGAAAATATGCTCTTTAGATATATTGGTTGATGTTTCAAGTGCATGAGTTTTCTCAAATTCCTTGTCCTGAGTCCAGAACTTAAACATGAAAAAGACTAATCTTAAGTTTAGCTTTTCTAAGCTTATGTTGGGTTAATATTATTATATAACTTAATATTTCTGCACACGTGGCTCTGCGGTTTCATGGCTTAAAATATGTTCACATTTCTGATTGATTTTTGTAAATGTTATATTTTATTCATGAATTGGGTTTAATTGAAATGATTTGATGAAAAGAAAGTATGTATTTTAGGAGCTATATGAAAGTTAAGAATAATCTTAACCCCAATTTATACTGTAAAACACAACTTTACTTTCTAATAAAGAGTTAAAAATCAGTTTTCAAATTTTATGAGGGCCTGAATCCAATTTTTTTGTAAATTTTTTTTTGGGAAATGAACAGTGATCAACAAACTGTAGACTAGGAAGAAGATATTATTTTTTAAAAATTAGGTTTATTTGATGTTAATACAAAGCAAATCACGTATAAAGTTAATTGGTCTGTTTAGACTACATAATTGCTGTAACTCATGTTCACTGAACGACTATGTAAAGTCCTAACTTGAGTCGTGAAGTCAATATCTTAGTCCAGAGTTTTCTGGTTCTCACTGTTTATAAAATATCTCATTTATTCATCAAAAATTTAATATTTTTGTATTCTGTAGTGTCGTGAAGGCTGGGGTGGCTATGTGTGTGAGTGTACTGAAGGCTGGGGAGGGAAAAATTGCGCAGACAAACTAAAGCCGGCAATGCGCTTCGCCGGAAATGGTTTCGCAGTTTACAGCGCTGGTCTTTATCCCATTCAACTACCTTGGACAAATGGACTCTCTTTCAGAACAAGGTGAATGTTTTTTTTTATTTATTTTTCTTATTTACAAATTAAATTTTTCTATGTAGATAT